GGCTTCGCTAATCGCTCAGGCAACAAAAAGCATCAGCAAGAAGCAAACGTAAGTAAAACGTGTCTTAGAAAATAATAAAGCATGGTAAAGAATCAAAGAAATCTACTACTTTTGCAACCTATGAGATGGCCACTTCAACAGAAAAAATTCTACATACAACGCAATGAAACCTTACATTTACGTCTTGACCTCTTGGGACGTGGTGCAGGTTTTGCGGAGGCAGACGTAGGTCTCTCAGCTGAAGCCTTGCACTTCGACCCCTGAAAACTAAAAGGTCGTACCTCGGAGCGGCTGCGTATAAGGTCGTACCTCGGAGCGGTTGCGTGTAGTGTCGGATCTCGCCAGCGTCCCAGAGAATGGTCGTAAGTCTATTTTTTGTCGATTTTGCGAGATGCATACCATTAGAATCGGGAGAAAATTCTCTTTCGAATGATATGCATGATATGCATCATTATCGAGTTTGCCTTATTTCGTGCTTTCGTGCTTTCGTCTTTGCTTCCACTCTCCTGCTTCCTGACAGCACCGGACAGCTATGGACTGGTCGGAAGAGGGAGTACATTCTCCGACTACAATGACCACGAGCACACATTTCGAATACGTCCTTATGGTCCTTACAGAAGTTTGAATGAAGAGGGTGGGTTGGTATTTCCACTGGACTGCTGACAGAGTTTCAGGATTGGCAAATTTTATTTAAATCCACATGCCGCAGTTCTTATAGTTCTTGCGCCACTAGTGTTGAGCTCCAATCATATGTATTGTGAATAACGAGGATTTATTATGTTACAAATATTTGCTCACAGACATTGCCCAGAATCACTTTTACAGGTAGACACCTGTTCGCCCAGGAACAGTGGAAATCTCTACATCCAGAAAAGAAATTTACACAGGTTTTAAGAAAGTTATAAACACTTGTCTAGTAATTTTTTCATTGATTCAAGAAGGCATGTGTAATTTACGTGACATATAATCTACAGACTGTTTATCTCCAGTGTCTGACTTATAGCAGCAATGCCACATTGTGGGTGAAAAGGTCTATTCTAACTGTTGTACACCTTCTGTCAATCCAGGGTGATTGCCGTGTTCGGCGCAATCATACTTTTTGTGCTGCTGCAGATGGCAGCCGTCGTTATTGTCATCGCCCCTATCAAATACTATGTTGACTATGCCGCCGTACATAATCTGGCGTTTGATTTGGTTCTTTGTTGTAAGTACACAGGACTACGTCCAAGAGATAATTGAATTATGTGTAGTGCGGTCACTACTGCAATAAACACATTTCTTTCTTGTTGCAGTGTTCCAGGCGTACCGTGTGCTCTACAAAACTAAGAAATAAATGTTAAATTCCCAACAAGTGCGCCTCATTTTTACTTCTGTGTGAATGTAGATACATAAACATAAAGATACTCCTGACTGCAATGATTTACAAAAGCTGCCTGGTCTTTGAAACACTGAAAAGAATTTTAAAAGCGCCTTCTTGAGCAAAAGTAGTAATTTAAGCTTACTTATTTTAAATATAGTGTTACACAAACTCAGCTTCTGACAATTTTGCATGGTAGACTGAAAATATGCGGGACCTTCCAGGACCTACCCATTAATTCCATTTGTTTCTTTTGCAGGAATTGCACTATCAGTTAAAAAAATTAACGGTAAGTGCCATGTAAATGGCTACCACAGCACAGCACCTTGCGCAGAGATGAGGAGCATCCTAGGTATTTTTGTAGTCCTTTAGCATACTTGATGACTTAATTGTTCAATAGATATTTTACATAGATTTTAAGATACATTGACATGAATGTATTATGAATTTGTGAATATGTTGAAATCAGGTACGCAATCTACTGTATATCAAAACCAAAGCTGCTCATTGGTGATGATAATTAGAACGAACAGACCCCGAATCAGATTATGTTTTTGAAGGGTGCTGTAAAACATCGCAAGTGAGCATCTTGATCTCTTTTTATTTCTTACGTTCATCAACATTTTTATCACGGCACTTATCACCTAAGTCTCTCATTTCAGGACCTAAGGAAACATGAATTCTAGGGTTAGTTACTCTAGTAGTTCAACTAGCCAGGAGGGGCCAGCTGCTCCTTCAGTGTCAGCAATCTATGGTCGTCGAACATCATGATTATGGAGTCTAGTAGTCCAGATGACTCTGAATCAGAGAGGTCTTGCTTCTCTCCCGGGATGGAAGCAGCTGCTGGCCGAAGCTCAGTAACAGGTGCTGGCCTGAGCTTGGAAACAGCTGCTGGCCAAAGATCCGAGGAAAGGGCAGCACTTTCCCCTGCTGCCCAAGCTGCCTTGCAGGCAGCAGCCGCTCCATCCCGGGGAAATGTCAAGAAATTTAAGTCAAATGGAGGTGTAGCAGTTGTCCCACCTCCCGACGATTTTGCTGGCCGGAAGAAGAGGGAGGCCGACGCCAGGATAGACAGGAGTTTGAAAGTTATGTCCAGCGTGGCGAAACAAGTAGGGGACTTCTTTGCGACAAGGAATAGCAGCACAAAGTCTTTTGCTATTGACGATGAAGATGAAGAAGTGAATGCCTTGCTGGGCGTTATTAAAGTAAGCTTCAAAAGGAGGATTTTAGTCGTCCATAAAAAGGAATGTATAAGAGCGGTAGAAAATGTTCTCCGGCGATTTGAAGATATGAGTTAGTTTTAAGTCTGTTTTGTTTTCTCTTGTTGATTTTACTCTTATACTCTTACTCTTTTACTTTTATACGGGTAATTTTTAAATGTTGACTGATTTTAAATGTTGACTGTTTTTAAATGTTGACTGTTTTTAAATGTTGACTGAGAGGATAAGCCTACTGGATAGCAATCATCAGGCTATGTCAGATGACTCAGTTTTTGAGTTTCATCACAATGACCTGCCTTATTACTGCTACCCAGAAGGTTATTGTTAAGTGTTAGGTAGGTCATTGTTTTGTAACTGATAAGACTGAGTCATGTGACATAGATTGTTGAACGGCTGGCTGTGAATCCTTGCCATATTTTCTTAGTGGAATACATCACTTAAATTTTAAATAATTATTTTATTCAATTGAGCATAATTCAGTACACCATCATTATCACAGTAATTATATCACACCCAACAAACAAGTACACCACTCACATTAGGTTACATAGGGCCTCTTACCATTGGTACATTTCTCAAGGCATAATCATATTGCCATGGTACTTCTCCATGTTCTGACACTTGAGTGACATTGACCAGGGGGTAGAAACGGAGGGCTCAGGCCGCACACCATGCGCGTCCCGGGCCGCGCGCCAGCCGGTTGAACACACGCATGTCTTTTCCGCACTTTTTGAAGCTGTTTGATATTTTGACCAACCGCATGAGTGGTATCGCGCGAAAGGGCAGAGTTCGAACTTTACCGAGGTGCCTTTACAATCCACCTTCGGTTTCATTTGGCCGAGATAATTTGATTATAGTGAACCAACAGACCACTCGGAGGCCCCGCCGGGGCGCAAACAAAACAAATTTTTACGTAAGCCAAGCGATTGTATTGTTGAACGAGGGTGTAACTAACAAGATTACTAAACCAGCTTTCGAATAGGATAGGTGTCCTTTCGGTCTGATCAAAATATATCCTCCATTTTATAAAAATAAGCTGATCGACGCGTCCGGCGAACAAAGGCGAATCTGCGGAACTCCCGGTAACAAAGGCGAATCTGCAGAGCGCCCGGTAACAAAGGCGTATCCCCATAAGAAATCCTTCACAGATTCGCCTTTGTTACCGGGCGCTCTGCAGATTCGCCTTTGTCACCGGGCGCTCAGCAGATTCGCCTTTGTTACCGGGCGCTCCGCAGATTCGCCTTTGATCGCCGGACGTGTCGTGATGTGAGATCGGCAGCCATTTTGAGTTCGGCAGCTTATTTTACATTTTAATAATACTCGCGTGATTTGCGGCGAAGCAAGAAGTATCCTATCCTGAGGCGCGTTTCATGGGCTTTCCGACGCCGTACGAGTTTTTATTCAACAATACGACGGGTCCTATTAACGTTGTCCGATCTCCCCGCGACGCTCCAACGTCGTCCGATCTCCCCGCGACGCTCTAACGTCGACCGATCTCCCCGTGACGCTCTAACGTTGTCCGATGTCCTTTTGCCGCGCGCTCTGCAGCGCTGTCTTCTTTTAATTACCAGTGGGGTAATATCGGCAGTAGAGGAAAAGTGAAAACTGCTACGTGTTCCTCAATCTTGTAGGACCACCTGGGCGCGTGCGGAGAAGAGTCGAGGGCGCCTAACCACATGGAGGGAATTCAAGCAGGCCTTCCTGGCGTCCTTCTGGTCGGACGACCGCCAGGAGATCGCGCGAGGGCAGCTATACTCCGCGCGGTGGCATCCCTCTAGCGGAGAGTCACTGGCACAGTGGCACGTGGCGATGGTTCACCGGAACCAGAAGTGCTTGCGGCGCCACTACCCGTCAGGCGTGCGGACCTCCTTCTCGACGGTCCCCAACCTCACTTTGGATGCAATGCTGGAAACACTGCGCACCTTGGACGGAGACCAGCTGTGGGACCGCTCTGCAGCGCGCTCCCATGCGCAAAGCGGGGCCTCCGGGTCAGCAAGCAGCCGCCCGTCGGGGGGAAAGCACCAGAGCGGACCCGGGTCCGCCCCGTCCGCCGCCGAGCAGCACCGCGCCGGCCGCCACATCCACGACAGAAACCTGGTCCTGGAGCCGCTGCTCCCCCCTACCACCCCTGACGCCGCTGGGGGGGAGGGCGCCGAAGAGCAACCCGCCGCTGCGGGTGGGAGGAGAGTTCGGGGCCAGGCCTGGCAGGGGGAGGACGTGCCCTCTTGCCGCAGCCGCACGGAGCGGCCCGGCGGGGGCCGAAGGGTCGGCCCCCGCCGGGGCGCGCCGGGAGGCTGCGCTGAGGAGAGCCTCCAGCCGGGGCCGGCCAAGGACCAAAACAGTGCAAAACAAGTGCAAATAGTGCATCGTAGTGCAGTGTAGTGCAGTGTAGTGCAGTGTAGTGCATAGTAGTGAACTGTAGTGCAGTGTAGTGCCGTGTAGTGCTCGGCTCTGTGTCCCTTGATGTAGCGTGTTGTTGTCCAATGCTTGTAGTGCTCCGCAACCCAGTGTAGTGCTTTGTAGTGATATAGTGAAAGTGCAACAATCAGTGCAATGCGTAGTGCAACCCGACCTAGAGAGGCCCGCCAGGAGGCCGCGCTACCCCCGAGTAGCGAGTACCAACCCGCTTGGCATTCCCTCTCGCACCACCAAGGCCCGGCGGGTGGGTTCCCCGCCACGCCCGCACTGGGCTGGGCAGCCCGGAGGAATCATCTGTGCAAGTAGCTGGATCGGCGAAGGTGTGCGCCAGGCCTGGGGGCCCTACGAGTACCGAGTACCAGCGTTTGGCATTCCCTCCCGGATAGCGTCCCCACGCCGAGCCAAGCGACGCCTGCCACCACCGCCTCCACCCCGCCTCCCCCCGCACCTATGGCTGAGTCGAACGCTTTCATTTTACTTCTTTTATTTTTCTCCACGCATGAGCAGCACCCCCTCCCCCCTCCTCATCGCACATGGCCCAGCGCCCGCCACGCAGTTCTAGGAAGCGGACCTCACCCCCGCCCCCTCCCCCCACCCTGGGCGGAGGCGGGGGAGTGTGGATAGCACCTCGGAATGCGTCCGG